CTCCATGAATAATTGTTCACTTTCTCGGGGTGACCTTATAATTATGAAACGGTGCAAAAACCGATAAACTGTTCTAAAAAAATTCAGAAGAATGCAGCAGTGGCTAAGAAACGGATACCTAGGTTATTCGTGCTGGGGAATCTGTTCATGATGCTAGAAAAAATCCTTAATGATTACTTTCTTTGAAAGTGCAAAAATTGAGGGTGACCTTATAATTATGAAACGCACTGTATCAGGCGACCACGTGCCCATTTTGTTGAGGCAACGTATAGTAAATAGTCCACACAAATTTGCCATTTATCAATATTTCTGACGCATCCTGTAAAATGCACGCGTTAGCGTGTATAGCCCAACTGGTAAAATAGATCCCATAATCTCCGATCAAAATTATTCATGGCTAACGCAGCAGTTTTTCTAAAGTTCTGCAAAACATCGGGCTACCGCTTTCTCCTGAGTACATGCAGAAAGAGCCACTCAAATCAAGGACTAGTGCCCGAAGGCCGTCATCAATTTGAATTATTTCGTATTTGCTGTAGTGCGAGGTAATAGAAAGGCCCCGTTACCAGCAACATCGACGAGCATTGCTATTGGCTCGCCGAACATCTTCACAATAGTGCTAGTAAACCAGAGAGCTATTAAATGACCGAGTGATGCCTCTCCTCGAAGACCCTCTTCCTAGTTACACGCCTACATGGAATTACGTGAGCTGCGGACATCCACAGAATGAAGTCTAAACTTGCGAATTAATGCAGAGAAGTGAAAGAAAGCTTTGAAAAAGTGAACATTAGCAATGCTGAACACCTTAAATGGGGAAAAAATTTGCTCGTCAGAGTATCGCCAGTTACAAGACAACAATGACTTTCATTTGCGATCCTGGCAAAAAAGTTAATGCATTCCGGAAAAGGATGGAAAAGGTTACCTACGATTTCTAACCTGATCTGTTCTACAGTTACCTCCACCAGCTCACCTACATTTTTATGCAGGATAGGTAGGTCGTTCTTTCAGGTCTCCCTTCACAAAGCCTATGCCATCACTTTGGGGGAGAATTCTGTGACGCAATGTTTCGACAGGATCAGATCAGAATATTTAAAGAAGCTCAAAGGGCAGGGATAACTAAGCTGTCCAAGGTAAGGTAGAGTTTCAATAGAAATTGCTATGGCGTTACCGGATATGACGGAAGTAAGGTTGTTATAGATCTTACAAAGTATCCTAACATATTGAGAAAGAGCATCTTGTTTGCTCAGACTCTGCGGGGATCGCGACGTATATGTATGTAGTAAGTATAGCTAGCAAAAACGATGGGAGTCGGCAGGCGCAAGGTCTTGGGCTACGGTGGGTGCCATGGAGTGTAGACATGCTCAAGTTGAATTGCGACAACGATTGTTGTGTGTGAGCGCGCAGTGCCATGGAGAAGATAGTGTGTTCTTGTAGGTTGATCCTTTTCAGCTGCAGGGCCTCATTAACCCGATATAGCTAGGTCACATGAAGATCCTTGCCTACCGTTGTGGTCTTCTGCAGAAGTCCCCACTACACGCTGCCCTACCAATCGTTACTACTTGGAATCTCAATGGAGTCTGGTGTGCAGAGTGTCCTTCAAAACGATATCACCTTTTTCCAAACAACTTCCGTGCGGCTATTTCGCTCATATAATCTTATTCGTACACACACAGATGACTGGAAAGGTTTTAGGAGTACTCAGGCCACCACGGTGCTCCAAACTTCTATTTCTGCGCCTTATAATCAATTACTGGTCAACACTCGGGGAAGGTGAAAGGAGGAAAATCATGTCAGGAAGACTTACAAACAATGTACCAAATTTTCTGAGTATCCTTATATCAAAAGGGTTTAAAAGCTCAAGAAGAAGAATAAAGGATAATGTTATTGGGCGTTGATCAATCCCCTATGGGAGAGCGCCCCAGAATCGACGTCCATTCAGAGTCGTAGTGAATTGAAAGTGAATATTGAATGCGCATATGGCCCATACAATGACTTAAGATGGCTAACCGATCTACAAGCCAATGCTTTCAACCCCTAAGCAAGTCTGGTACCAACTAATCGGGCCTGGAGGGACAGAAGGCTTATCTAAACTAAGCGGATATCGATCCGGGATTCGAACCCGTCACCATTTGTGTTTGATAGTGCGCTCCAACTCCGTCCGCTCGAGAAGAGAACGTCAAAGAAATTAGGCACCAACCCAATAACTTATTCACATAAAATGCTGGATATTTCGACATCTTTATCACATTACATCTCGAAAACATCTCGAACAAGAAATCGCGGGCAGTACAAAAATGACTTCTGCTATTATGTATATGTAAAACATCGAATACTGTATAGGCACACCAAATTCTCACTCAACAAATAGACGACAATGTGCCGCACCTCTTTCCATTTTCGTTTTGCTAACAATCGAACGAGACATTACTATGCCACATATTGAAGAAGTAGCTCTAAACTGAACAGTGAAAACCACGGAGTTTGTTGAGGAACTGTACTACAGCCAGGTACCGAACTGACCATAACGACTCATGAGCCTTTCTCTATAGACCCTTGGAAATATTCGAATAACATTTGAACACCAAACAACACACACAATTTCCAAAAGGATAATCACTGCAAAATACTATTCTATCGATACAAAATTCGTCACAAATGAATAAACTATCTAATACTACGTGAGAAAGTACCGCAAACAAGAGGATCATATGAGGGAATGATGATGAAGTCTAGGCGAATAAGCGAAACAAGGCTATCACAAGTATACTGAGACCACCACGGAGAGGAGCAGCGGGGTTACAGGCTGGTCGATCAGAGCACTGAGACATGGTGCGCGATACTCCCGCTGATCCCTGAAAAAAAAGTATTTTTCCAATTAGTCAAGCTCTGTCAATTCAATTTTTCCTTGTTCCTTGTTCTCAGCTCTAATCATGCGAAAGAGGAATACCCAAGAGGGACATCAAACTTTGTCAAGTAAGCAGCAAACGAACTCGGTATGTGTCAAAAGCGGATCTCGTACTGGGTTTCGAAAAAAAAAAACTAGAGCAAGTAAATGAGGACATAGAGAAGGAAACGTTCAAAGCCGACCTGTCTGGCTTTTCGCTACATTTTCTCTTTCGGTGCTGATGCTTCTCCCCATCTTCCCTTGCCCATGTTCAACAGCACACTGTGGAGCGGCTTCGACCATGAGAAACTCATCACAGCCACGACAATATGTCGGAGGGGCATGCGGGAGCAGGTACATCCATCGCTAATTCAGTTTCGTATCCGCCTGACCCCGCAACAATTTTATATAAATCCTCATCTGTGAGCAGAAACTCACATCAATGCCCGACCGACTATGGTTCTTAAAAGACAAAGGGGAAGATATTATATTTCAAGCGATGATCAAAATAATTTCGGATGAGCCACTATGTTTGGCATCTATTCGAATCATGGCATCGAATGGGTGGTCCCTCCAGTGATTTACCAGGACCAGTTGATGAGCAAGACCACTATACTGGAGCAACTAGAGACGTGATTTCCCGACCCTAAAGAGCAAACAATTCAGTAGAAGCTATAGGACTTATTGACGCTGTTCCGCTTGTTTTACTCCCTCTGGAACTTGATCACCTGTGGAAGTTGGAAGATGGCATTATCACCCTCTAAGCTATTACGAAGCCCATGAACTAGGATATTCATGTCGCGGGGATGCGGCTAAAATGATGCAGATTGGTCTTTATAGTTCCCTTCAGGTCAGTCAGTCAGTGAATGGGACTTTCCGAATATGCTTAGGGGATACCGTGCACAAAGTTCATTAGGATAACTGATTACTAGTGCAGCACAAACGGTCTTTTGCATAAGGGGCTGAGTATTAGGAGCAGGGCACAGAAACCTGTGAGGTGTAAGTGCTTCACGATTCATGAAGCCACCATAAAGCTTTGCCATCAGGCAACACAAGATATGAGAAGGCCTAGACCGCCAAAGAGGAAAGATTTTAAGTGGAAGAAAGATTGGGTAGGCATATTAGGATGCGACGTTACTCGAACGGTGATTTCCAAGATGGTAATCCATGCTCCCTGTTTCCCTGCGACAATACTAGTCAGCTACAAGTTAAGCTTTGGTCCATCGGTTCTCGGGTGTTTTCTTTTCCAATGCCTTCATCGTGTATCAGATCGCTACTATTTTACTTCCACTTTTAATCTATCGTCAGGTCATTTTAATTTCTCCCCTTTGAGCACGGAGGAAACAAGAGCTTCTAGAACTGATAGCGAGGACCTCACAACCTGTGGTAACTTTCGCTAGTGAGCCTGATGGAATAGAATGATGAAGGGACACCTCCTGATATCATTGATATCACTAATAACAGTCAAAGAGCGGGAAGGGCACATGAAAAGAATGAAAAGAGAAACTTTTGCAATGGATGCTGAAAAGGGTTCTTTGGACCACCGCTTCAAATAAATCGAACTTCCTCCCCTGGACGACCACTTGAACGGATCTGTTGCATTTCAATATCGATTGAGGTGTAATTTCTCTCAGCCTTAAGAGAAAAACTCTCGAAAAGCTTGTAATAAGAAGTTCGATCCATTTGTCTACAACTACTCTCCTATCCCACTCGTCTAATGTTGTTAGTCACATGGCAAGGGGTGCCCTATTTATTGAATTAGCGGTGGGGCCTACTCATTTCCCACATCTGGAATTGGAAAGGTAGTACCAACTATGTACTGTGGCCGTACAATGGCGTACAGAAACCATAAAACAACTTTCAAGTAAGGTAGATAAGTAGTATCAGCTGGCCCTTCTTATCCAATCTACGCTAGAGCTGATAAGCACCAGAGTTGTTTAAATCACCACGAATTTCGCCGCGCGGTTTGCCGCATCCATCCAACATTGGGCGAATGTAACCTACACCCGTTGAATTCTGAGCATATTTGCGTCCGAAAGTAATAGCTCCAAAAGGTAAACATCATTCAGACCGGAATCCCCTATCGAATCCTTCTACCAATCCTCCCTCTCGCCTGTGTGCCAGGCTAATTTGGCTTGATGGAAGCTAGTGATCTCACATCAGCTGACGTTCGTTTACGTAGTGCAGCTCAAAAAGGACGTCTGACGTTTCATCTTTTTGTGCATATATAATGTGCAGGGAAAGGAAATGTGCACTATAATGGATTACGAGCATGCGAACGGGTGATTTATCGTCAGGGGAATTCGTTTGAGTCGATTTTGACGTCATGAGAAATAGCTCAGCAACCACGTAGGATTTTCTTTTAAATCACCTCCACTTCTCATCTATTCAACATAAGAAAATCGTCGATGCAGTAAGAAAAATATGCATTGATATGGTATCTCGAGCACGAAAAGAACCTCGAATCAGTATCCAGCAAGATGAGAAGATGTGAGATGAAGTTGACTTGCTTTATGAAAGCCCTATAAATCGGTCTCCGACGCTTACTTTGCCACAGCATGGTCCCAGAACCAGCTACAAGAAATCGAAGACAGTAAGCGATCTTGGGTGTTGTCCTGGGAGTGCCCATCATGGTGCACTGTATCTCATGCACGCCGAACTTTAGATAGATTGTGAAAATTTCCTTGGTGCTTGTACTTTGTAAAAATTACCTCGTGGTAAATCAGTATTATTAGAGACGTACATATATCCGACAAAGAAGAGTTAAACGTCTTCATTTCGTCAAGGTAAGCACCAAAGTTGGTAAGTAAGTAAGAAAGGTAAACGGAAGAGAAAATTAATTTTGAGCACTTCATCAGCAATACTAAGGAAAGGTGTTTTAGGTACTAACCTTATTGCTCTTGTTCTCGACGTCCTCGCCCAGATACGCACACTCCCGAACGATTGAGGTTTCTTCTGAAAAGAAACGCTGTGATCATTCCTAGAGTACTTGTTTGTAACATGAGCCATAAAAGTTTCCGAGATTCAGATATTATCCTTTTGGTGGTGAGGAATTCTTACGGGCACGGGCCTCCATTCGTTACTTGCGCTCAGGTTGGTATGGATCACAGAAAGGTAGCGGGGCTGTACGGTAATGGCGTGGGTCGAATTATTCGAAAAAAATTCCGAAGACTTTGGAAAATCACTGCCTGTTATTCTTACATTTCAGCTCGAGATTGAGTGGGAATGTTTCGTAACTAACTATCAAGACAATGCTGAAGTGACTTCCGATATTAAACAGACTGCAAGAAAGGATTTTCGAATAGCTTTACACATTCTGACTTTATTTTTTCGTTCGTTTCCCGACCTATGTGTTTCCAATCTCTCAGTCACTCAATCCACCTAACGGCTTAGCTCTGATTTTGGCTTGTAAAGAGAACACTAAGAATGGTTGGTGAAGATATGTGATAAGCTATCGAAAAATGTGAACACACATAACAACTATTACAGCGGATAAAACCAATAATTACTGAATGATCGAAATGGCTGAAATACCACAATGTGCCGGGTCGAGGGCGTATGCTCCTTTTCTTACATTTATGAAGCCATCACCATGAGCTAAGAGCTACCAATCCAATACAGAATAGTATTTGACTTCTACGAGCAGCAACACCGTTCATTTGAATACCAACTTATAAAAAAACAAACGAAAAATGGTAGATGATCACTGAGCATTCAGATGCCATTGCCTTTTAAAAGCTGAGTGCCGCAAACTCTGAGGACTGCTGATTTATTAATATTTATCAGGTAGGCACCTTGTAATTGCTAGAATTGAGTGGTAGAAAGCTATAGATATCAGTAAAAGGTGATAAGATGAAACATTCTCCAAGGGCGCTCTCATCTACTACATTGGATTCCAATATGCTTTGTCGCCCACTCATGGACTGCCGATCAGCTTTGGTATTAGCCGGTGTACTGATTCTGAAGATCTGGTAAAGTTTGTAGTTATGTAGTTATAATGGGAGCGATGGGAAAAGCAGCGACAGTGACTGACGATGTTTTTATCCATAGCTACATCTGAGAGTTTGATACCCATCTCAGGCGCATATACCGGCACTATTGTATTCTGTTTGATAGCCATACCATGTACTCTCCAGCCTTCGCCTCTTCCAACTATCACTTCTCTTGTTCTTCAAATCGTTAGTTTTTACTTCTGCCTCGAGGTTTGTAGGTGGACATATTTATTACGGCCGACGTTTTGCCGGACTCGTCGTTTTCAAAGGCCTGAAAGTGGTTCAAAGCGTGTCGATTGTACACTACCCCACCAAGCGCCTTTTCCGCTCTAGCGTTTCTGACGTACCATCAGGAATGCACGAAAAATGCTCAAAATCCAAAAGGTAAGCTCAC